CCTAACTATTCTATGATTCTATGATTTGTGCTCTTGGCTTGTGAGTCCCAGAGTTGGTGGGATCCTAAGGTACACTTCAGTAGTGAGTTGTGGGCATAATTTCTCTCGCCCTTTCTCTGGATTTCTCCAGGTCATCTTAAAAGTCTCTGTTTGCTTCAGTCAGTCTTAGCCAAGCATAGTCAGCCACCCGGATGCACAGCAGTACCTCAGAAGTGACAGCCTGGCTCTGCTCCCTGTGTGGCAGAAGGTGGGGTGGAATGCAGTGAGAGCCGGGGTGAAGCCCCAGGCAGAGGAGCTGTTGACAGAAAACAGCCCAAGGTCCCTTGAAGCAGAATAAATTAGACCACAGAGCTCTGGTTCTGTCTGTCACCTGCTGGTGTCCATAAGTGAGCCAGTAAAGCCCCATGGCCAGCAGTATTGGATGAAGGGGTTGCAAAAGAGAAAGAAAGGATCACTGGTGAGATCCAGATTGACAATGGGGAAGACAGTGATAGGATATCAGATATGCTTTGTTCTGATTCCTTGTCACTCAGCTCATCTGAAATAGAAAGTTGGAAATATGGCAATGACTTGAAAATTGTCAGAAGAACAAGTTGCAAGGAGGGCCTGCTGAGCCACTTGTGCCAAGCCTCAGTGCTTCAGCTATCGCGTTTCTGTATGTGCCTTGGTTGGTTGTTTTTTTTGCAGTAATTCTTAAATCTTATATATGTATTTTTATGAATTGTATCAGTGAGGTATCCGTACGTTCTGCTGGATAAAAATAATATGTAATATAAAATGTGTATTTTACGAGTAATCTACATTCTTTATGCAGGTACAGAAGGCTTGGGCTTTAGCATTACTTCAAGAGATGTCCCAATTGGTGGCTCTGCTCCAATTTATGTGAAAAACATCCTTCCGAGAGGTGCAGCTATCCAAGATGGAAGACTAAAAGCTGGAGATCGATTAATTGAGGTGATGAAGTATTACATAGTATTTGTCTGTTTTTTGGCATTAGCCCATGTACTAGTTCATTTTGTAAGTCTTTTCGTAGTTTATGGTTTAGGAAAAGGTTTCTCTCTTCTATTTTTCCTTATTTTGGCTTTGGGATTTTTCTCCAGCTCTGTGGTTTTTTTTGTCTTTGGTAACAGATCAAGGGTTGGGCATTTTCAGTACATAATGGAGCTGGACCCAGACATACTATGAAAACTAGGAGTTTACCTGTTCTTACGTGAATATAGTGTCATAGTCTTGCATTGCTGTTTAGGAATAAATTCAAGCAAAGTGATTGTTACCTAATAAGTAGCATTAAATAAACATGGAGTGACAGACCAGAAAGTCTGAAGATGTTGGCAAGTATGGAAAGCAATACCCTGGAAAGTTTAGTGAATAAACTGGAAGGGACAATGTAAGAGGAGAGCAGTATTACAGAGAATCAAGGCCACTTCCCTTCTGAAGGCAGGATACCCTCAAGGGAATTAAATTTCTCTTAGATACACGCACAGCAGAGATCTTCCTGCAAATCTAGCTGGAGTGATACAAGATGTTACCACCCACAGCTCTTCATTAACCATCCCTAAGCCAAACAACACTGGAGGTACAGCTGAGACTCTAACTGCCTCTCAGCGCTTTAACTTCACTTTACTGCAAAATTGGCAAAGTCAGCCTGAATTGTTGCTGGAAGATAGTCCTCTGTAATTACTGTAATTCAAGGTAACCCAGATGACTTGGGTAGAAGGAGACTGAGAATCATTTAAGATGACAGCTATGGTGTCTCAACTGTATAAGCTATGATCTCTTATGAGGGGAAGGAAGAAGATGGTTTGCTGACTTCTGATTATCATGCTCCCTTGCTTAACACCATTAGTTGATTTGCCTTGCATTCCCAGAATGTTTCTGAACAGGCAGGCTTGAGAATACTCTATCTTTCTTTGTCTTCTCCCTTGCTCAAGTTAGCTCATGCAGTAGGAAATAACCTGTGTATATCTATACGTGTCTGTCCTGGTAAGTGATAATGGAGGCCCAGAGTTTGGGCTACTGAAAAAAGGCAAAAAAAGAGTAATTACCCCAAAGTTATTTGGGGGGAAAAAATTATTTTCTACTTTTGACACAATTTGTGGTGCAAGATATATTGGTAATACACATATAACACTAAGGCATGTGAAAAGAGGACCAGTTTTCGAATATACATTGATTTGCCAAAGGACTTTTATGCAGAATTCTTGTAAAAAATACTGGTAGGCAAAATTAGTTGGCTTTAGAGTATACTGGAGTATACTGTTGCTGGTAAAAAGGGGGGAAATATAACTGCCTTGTTATTTGTATTGGTATGTGAAGAATGCATGTTTAGTTCTATTAAGTGGAAGCCATACCAGCCAATAAGCAGATTACTTCAGTGAAGTTTTTTTAATACTGTTCAATATGATTCGCATGACTTTTTGGTATGAATTTCTACTGGTTTTCCATTGTCACAGGTAAATGGAGTTGATTTAACAGGCAAAACTCAAGAAGAAGTTGTGTCCTTGCTGCGAAGCACCAAAATGGGAGGGACCGTCAGCCTTCTGATTTTTCGACAGGAAGAAACATTCCATCCAAGGGAACTGGTGCGTAAAATAGAGAGCAGCTAAGAGAATTAGATGAATATAAGCAAATGATTTGATCTTGTCACCTGCTAGTAAACATGCCTCGCCAGCACTGAATATAAGAAAAAGAGAAAAAGATATTTTGCTTTATTTAAAACATTTTACATGAATGTTTTTTATTTCTCTTCAAGATCTACTAATGGAATTAAGTATTTGGTGATAATGTATAAATAAGAGTTTTATTTTGAGTGAAAATGTTTATTACAGAAGAAGCTATTGGATGGACTTTGAATGCAGACAAGTAGATTATTTTATATCTTTCATATAGACAAATCTATGTTTGAAAGCCTGACATTTGTCCCACTACCTGCTCACTAAATTATTTTAGAGCATAAAATATTGTGCCAAAACAGCATATGTAAATACCTTTCTATCAAAAAGTAGAATACAAAAGAAATAGTACCCTTTTTTGAACATAAATGCAATCTCTGTGGAATGGAAACCCTGCAGTTATTAATTTAGAAGGGCAATTCAGAAAATGTTTCTGAGGAATTCACATGAAATGGAAATAAAATGATGTTTCACACAGTACCTGCTCCACTTGCATAGTGTATACAGATATTTCTCTGATAATTAGTCAAGATAATTTCTGTTATGGAAAGGTAGACTGTGAATGTAGCAGCCTTACTTTGTCCTGTATTCAATTAAACTGCTGAAGTTGTTTATTTGTATTATCATAAATATATATATAGCTCAAAAATAACTTATTTGGCTGCATTATCCTAAGATAGACAAATATAAGTGACAAATATAAGTATGATGAATTGACTGCTTCATTTTTCTGTTGGATTTGTGTTATTTCAAATGCAAAGAGAATGAATTTTCATTTGACTATTTCAAGACATTCAACATTAGCCTTTTACTTTTCAAAACTACGATTAAACCTAGGAAGTCAAAGTGTTGGGGAAGGTTGCAAAAGAACCACACATTTACCATAGTATTCTTGGAACATGACTTCAGGTACTGAAATGAAAGCTGTCATTAAATGAAGAGAAATGAACAATTTGAAATTATCTTATGTCCTACCTTATTACTGGAACTGGGAAAGCAACTTGTTTATAAGTTCCTATGATGTAATTTTTACAGTATTGCTATCTTACATAAAGGTGAATGAAAATGCTTTTAAACTTTTCTAAATAAACTTAGAAGTAAGAAAATGTCTTAATTTTGTGTATATTATTTCTGTAGCAATATGAGGAAGTTATGATGCATAATTTAATACAATATTTTCAATAATTGTAAACAAAAATCCATTATGAGTAGTGCAGGGGTTTAATAGTAATACTGGATGTAGTTTTTAAAATAACAGCAAATCAGCCCCTTTAAATGAGTTCAACCTCGGTAGCCTCCCTGCCGCTGCTCAGGCAATACTCTCTCACCTATTTTGGCAACACCAACACAGGGAAACTAGATCTCATCATGGCTTTGTCAGGTAGTCAGTGGGCTCTGCGCTATGTAGTCAGTGGTCATATCTGAACTGGCGTATGTTCCTGCAGCTCCAGTTGAACAAATGGTATTGTGAGGATCTGACAGTACATGTGTATGATCCTCTGATGCATAAGGATTTGTTTGTTTGCATTTTGACATGAAAAACTGTTAGGTATGCTCTGCTGACAGCTGTCAAAGAGCAAGAGCAGAATTGCTGGGGAAGGTGTTGAACTAAACCTCATCATAAGGGCTGTTCGATCTTCTTTGGTAAGAAATAATCCTAAAAGGAAAGGAAAAGACTTTTCAACCAGCTCTTCTCATCACCTTTTACTAGCTTTATGTACTGAAAAAAAAAAAAAAAAAAAAAAAGAAAGTTAATGTTGAAGAAGGGAGGGGAATGATCTGAAATCACATTGGTTCATCTTTTTCATACGCCAAGCCTTCTTTGGCCACTTAGGAACAATTTGTCTTTGCATCCTTCCCCTATTTCTGTCATATTTTCTACATTTGTATGCTTTAAATATTAATTGAATGAGATGTGTCTCAGAAACCGTATGCATAAAATCATGTTATTTGATATTATCCATCTCATAAAGGGCAGGACTTGCTGTTGCTTGCCAAGGAGCACTCAGTATTAAAACCATTTTATATTTGCCAACATTTGTACAGATAGTAATCCCAATAAAAGAGGTGTTTAGATTTTATATTTTGGATTATGGCTTGTTGAATGACTTTTGAAAAGTTGCTTATCCTTGGGTTTTTTTATAAGTAAAACAAAGACAATAAACTTTCAGGAGAGTTGTGGAGTTTAATGTCTTTGATGTATGTTGCCGTTATTCTTCGGAAGTGACCTACAAAACTATATAGTTGTAGCTAAAACATAAAGGAATGTTAAGCTGAGCCCATTTAGGTTAGTAAAGGATCTTTGTAGCTTGTGTGGTAATGTTACGGGGGGGGTGTATGATGGAGAATCATCATCTGGCAGATCACAGTGAAAGTGAATAAAATGTGGAAGCAGAGAATGAAATCAAATTGGTAGGAGTCAACTTTTCTCACCAGTGACATCTCCAGAATACGAAGCATTTTATTGCTTCCAGAGTTACCTAATGCTAGATAGATAATATATCAGTGTAAGGCAGATTGTATCTGAATAATCTTTCCTCCCTGCCCCTGAGCTTTGTGAAGGGGGTGAGGATTACTCACACTGTAATACTGTAGTTACCTCACATATCTGAACATAACTTGCAGTGAAGGATTTTCTTAGAGCATGCTACTGACTATGTGAATCCTCTGAAGGATTGACTTGGGTTATTTACCTTTTGAGCTGTATTCTCAGTATCAGCAGAGACTGTCTGGCAGAGTTTAGTCTCCAGTACCCTAAAAGTTAATATGCCTATTTGTACACGTAAGTCCTTTCTATGTGGCTGGTAGTTAGCTCCATCATAATTTTATTCTTGCTGGTTGCTGGCATTAAGTTAAAGATAGGTGGGTGTTTGTGTTACTCCTTTGCCACTACATTTTAGTGCTTAATCATTTGAACCTCTGTAAAAATCTGCAATACAGCTCGAAGCAAAAGAGACCAGTAAACCCTAGCATTTTATTTTGGCCCAGCTGAATGGAAATAAATAGCTGGTTAGCGCTCAAGTGCTCATCCAGCCAGAAGCAAGGTGGCTCCGGGGTGCTCAAAGAGGTTTTAATATGGGTGGATGTGGTCTGGGAAGAGCAATAGTTCCTTATGTGTGTTTTCAGAATTAGTTGGCGGATGAAGAAAAGTTTTCCAATTATTTTAGGTTTGCCTTATGTGCCCTAAGGCACAGGTAAGGAATGCAAGGTACAGGAGGATCCCTTCTGTCTTGAACTGAAGGCACCCTCCTGACCTGGGATATCCTGTGCTATAGGTCTGAATACACTCAAAAGGGGAATCCTTGTAAAAGTAAGAATGGATGTTTTAAAAAATAGATACTTGTTTAAAATATTTGGAAGGATTCATCTGGATTGCTGAGGTCATTCTCTGAAAAATTCAAAGCAGAAGGGAAAGGCCAAAGGAGAACATCCCTGAAGGAGAATGTTCCACCAGTCAGAAAATGGTGAAAGCAGCTGTGATTCTTCCTTGGCCAGGTAGCCACCTCCCTCATAGCCAGATAAAGTCAGGTACACTGGCCTAAGATCGATGGAGGTTATTTTGTTCACCTCTCATTTACTGCTTGTTTAGACAAATTTGAATCAGAGGCATGACAAACACTCTTCATTTTTCCATTACAACTTCACATCAGAATTAGAGCCTTTGTTTATCCCCTTGCTGATAGATAGTATATGTCTTATGTAGTCGTGTTCTTATTTATTTTTTTTACTTCCTTTAGAATGCAGAACAAAGCCAGTCACATATTCCAAAGGAAACGGTAAGAGTTTTGTCTTTTCCATACTGGAAGACTCCCAAATGTTTTTAAATTGATATGGCACTTCTCCATCAAAGTTTCGCAGATCCTCCTTTCACCTTATATACTGTAGATGGCTCTCTCTAGCTTTACATTTTAAATGTCGTTTTTGATGTAATTTCAAATACTGTTTGAATATTATATACAATTCAGTTATAATGTATGTTCAAGTGCTATTTGAAATTACGTCTTTTATACACGGCTAAAGGCCTAAAGTTGGAATGATAAGGGTAGACTGTTAGCTTGGGTTATTTGTTGAAACTAATTGTTTAAATAATGATGACATGACTGAAACTTGAGATACAAACACAGAAATTAAGGGGTTTGGATTTAAGTCTCTATTGTATCCTCATAGCAAACTGCTGTTTGTTAGTTATTTTTGAGAAACTGTAGGGAAGTAGTATTGAGTTTAACCCTTTGAAGGCTGTAGCAGGTGTGTATGGGATATGTCAGTGAGGCTGTATATTGAGGTCGTATACTGTTTCTATAGCTTGTTTTAGTCACTGGGACAGGATCAGCCTCAATGCACATTGTACTGATATATATAAAAAGTTTTCTAAAATAAAAGGTTTATTTTATGAATTATTAACAGAGGATATAACAATAATGTTACCTTGAATGTATACTGTATTTTAGTTAAAAACATATTTCAGGAAGCTCCATCACATTAGGTACCTAGTTCAAAATTATGTAATGAAGTGGATTATAGAGAAATTGTGAAGATTTGTGCTGGGATTTGGAGTTATTTAGGGTGCTGAAAAGCAGAAATAGCTTGTCTAAATGGTTCAAACTGCATTACGAGCAATGGTGAGATGGTGTCTGGGATAAAAAAGAAAGCCAAGACTAAGTAAAGACATATAACAGCCATTTCAGTGAGATACTCAAGAGTACATTGGTTGATACTATAACTTTTTCAGGCCAATGGAATGTAAACTGTAAAAATGGGCGTTTGAGTTGAATGTATCATTCTTCACTTGTATCCCTCCGGCTTTTGATGTCCTTCTAGTCTGAAAGGCATCTGCAAAAGGGCTCTGCAGAATCAGGGGTGTATCATTGTTTCAGACATGCCTAAGAGTATCTTTTTTAGTACATATCATTAGCGTATGTATGTTTTTATCTTCATAGTTTCTTACCACCTACTGCTGATATGTAAGGAGATCAAAAATCAAAGACTAGGACAGTGTTTCTGCCTGTAATTGAATACAACTGAGAATAATTTGTGGGTGCAGCCTTATGAAAGTATCCTGGCTTTAAGAGGTGAAATTCTGCACCAAAACCTCATTAAGATTAGGGAGATTGCCTACAAGGTGATTATATAATTAGTTGCTCATCTATTGCAAAGTCAGTGTGTTGTAGCAAATTCCACTGTCTCTGTCATTTTTGGGACCAACACCCTGACTTCATCTAAGAAAAGACCAAAAGAAAATAAGTCTCTCTCATTTCTTCTCTATAGGTGTCAGATAAAAATGTCTTGTTAGTCAGGAGATCATGCAAGAGGGGCAAGGAGTATATGAATAGCTAGGGATTTCTAAACAACGAGAAAGCCCTAGCAAGCCTTGGAAATAAGGAAGTGAATTGGGAAACATGGAAACATTTTTGATAAGTGAGGGAATGAAACTAGAAAGCTGGTCAATACAAAAGTGGTTTTTTTGCATAATATCTTGAGTTTTTAATTCATTATAGGGTGGGATTTTTTTATTACTGATTTGAAGGCTCAGAGCAACAGTGATCAATAGTAGGAACAAATTTGCCTACTTCTGGGTGGGAATAAAAAGTGAACTAAATATGAAAGGTGTCAGTGGGTATTTATGATGCACAATGCTTTTGCACTTACCTCCCTTCTTCCAGTCTAATCTACTTTGCTTTGAGTAAGTGTGATACTCCAGTTCTACAGAACTAATTTTCCTCAGCTGCACATTAATAATACAGTCACACACTGGGATTTTTTTTTATTATTATTATTGAAAGTATTTTTCATTGCTTTCCTTTATTCTCCTTAGTTCTGCTCAATCCCTATTTATTCCTCCTCTGTCTACTTTTCAGGTGTTTGAGATTTCTAATCTTGCAATTTCTATTTCTGTGCTTTCTCTGATCTTTTGCTGTAAGTTGTGAGGTTTTAGTCTCCCAGTGTCAAGGACTTGATAGTAGAAAGCAAAGGAAAAAAATAACAAAAGACCCCATGATGAAAGCAACAAAGCTATAGAAATGAGAGAGAGGTGAAGTACAGGTTTATTTTTAATTTAAAGGCAAAATGGTTGTATTTTTTATTGTTGAGTTTCAGGGTTTTAGGTGGGTTTTTTTTTTTTTTTCTGCTGTTATGTCTTTGTGCCAAAAAATGGAAGAAAAATTCACCTTTAATTAAATTTAAAAAAATTAAATTAAATTAAATTAAAAAAAAAGCAACTTAAAAGTGGAAAGCCTAAAATAAAATTTATATATAGACCCTGAATTGTAAATCATAATTTATCAACACATTATTACTACTCAGGAATTACATTCATGTAATTGTTACTTTGAAATGGTTTAGAGTAATATGCCACTTGGATGCAGTCGTTAGAAAGTTCATAGATATAATAAAAGAAAAACTTGAAAATCAGGTTTTTTGTTAATTTATTTGTGGCCTGAAATCCTTGAGAGAGTTATTTCTTACTATGCATATAGGAAAGCATATGACTTAATATTTTGCACGCTATCACAAAATACAGATTCTCATATTCTCATTCTTCAACTTCCATATGAGGAGTTTTTGTAACTTGCTAAGCTCGTGGAATTTAAGATTTGCTCTCCAGTTATCCATAAGAAATGCAAATTGCTAATGCAACTTCAGCTTCTATCCAGTAACTGCGCCCTGGTGAAAACAGAACTTCTGGTTTTACCTTCTGTTTTGCTGAGGAACGGAAGAGGCGCTCTGTTTAGGCCTGAAGCAAGGAAATCTCTGTATCCTGAGTGAAAGACTGTTTCACCCAGGCACGAGTTTGTGCCATTTGTATAGCTGATGACAACATGGAACAGATGCACCTATTTCTAAACATGGTGATTATTTAGAGTGTGGGAGATTGACCGTAATATGAAAACTAGTAATTTATCATTATTACATTTCTGTTTCTAAGCATAATTATCTTAATCTTGTTACAGAGTATTGAAATGAACTGTTAATTATGCTATGTAAAACATCTGCCAATTAATTTTTCCTCATACTCTTTGAAAGTCAATAGTGTTTCAGTAATATTTTGCTTTTACAATTGTCATTCACTGTTTGTTTTCTGAATTCAGAACCAGCAAGTTAACTTTCATGTAAGCATAATGCTAGAAAAATAATAATTGTCATATTAGTATTGTCTAGGAAGTTTTGTCTATAGGTAAACAGAGATTCAAAGTTAGGATTCAGGATTTTATTGCATGATTGTTGCACTCAGCAGCATGGGAAAACTTCAGTTTTCTGATCTCATTTGTTTTTCTGTTGAATTGCTCTAAGTGAGCAGAATGTTAAGAATTTTAGTGAGTGCAGGATTCGTAACAG